GGGGACCGGGGCAGATCCAGGCCCTGTGGCTGACTGGCGGGGCAGGCTTGAGGAAGTGACACCTCCTCTGGGGCCGGTTCCTGTCTGTGGACCTCACAGGGATAAGCCTAGCACAGTACCTGGCACAGGGATTGCTCTGAGGAGGGGGCTGCAGGACCGGGAAGCTGGCATGGAACCCGGGGACGCAGGTGGGGAAGGGGCAGCTACCCCTATGGGATCAAGGGGCTGTAAGAAAAGGAGGCCCAGGACTCTGGTGCAGCAGGGTCTCAGGAGGTGTGCAGTCTGCTTATTCGGAGGGCCCAGACCCCACGGCCACATGGATAAAAGGGTGGCAAAGATGTTGTAGCAATGGCACCCTTGGGACTCGATCCAAGAGGCAGTCACTTTCTTTGCTGCGAGCCGGTCCAGCTGAGGCTGGGGAGCCCTCCGCCCTGGGCAGTGACCCAAATCCAGGAGGCTTTCCAGCTGCTTGTTTCGGAGAAGGAGATAAGCTAATGGGCCACAACAGGGCCCAGGAGAAACTTCCAGCTGACAGGGCAGTAGAGAGGGGCTGCGCCAGGAAAGACTGCTGCTGGGGGGGGGCCGGGCCAAGGGCGGCGCCAGAGACACACAGGAGGAAGGGGCCTTGCGGCCATCGCGGAAACCGAGCCTGGGATGCAGAGGGCTAGGCTCTCCACCTGGCAACAAGCGAAGACCTGCGCAGTGGTGCTGGGGGGACGTTCGATATGGCACTGGTGACGGGGCGGCCAGCTCTGGTGTCCCCTCCTTCCATCATGATAATGACTCTGAAAGACAGGTCCTGACCCTTCCTGGGCGCCTGACTCTGGGCATTCAGAGATGAGTACAACCTAGATCCTTCTGACCCTGGCACCCATGCTGTCTGAAACAGTATGTAGGAAGAAGGCCTTTAAGGCTCCAAGAGCACAGAAAGGCTTTGGGGGCTGGGAAACGGTCTGGTGTGGCTGGAGGAAGTGGAGGCAGCAGAGGGCATGAGTTGCTGAGGTGGTTGAGGCCAGAATGGGGTCCCTGAAGTCACTGTGCAGAGAAGGGGTATCCTCAAGAACTATGCCAGGTTGGGGCCGTGGCCCACCGCCCCACAGGAGAAGCCTGGACTGCTGGCCTGGCCACCACTGCTCTGCTCCCCTCCTTGGGCGATAAAAGCTTCCGGTGCTGGGCAAGTGCTTCTGTCCTCTAAGCATGGGGGTAGAGAGCAGCCGCTCCGGCTGGGCTCCTGGGTCCGCACCAACGCCTACTACAACCCCCCCAACTCCCAGGTAAGAATGACAACAGTGCTTTCCCTCACAGTTGTCGTGAGGCGTTGAGGGGCTAGCCCACAGTGAGGTTCGGTGAGGTGACACACAGGAAGTGCTCAGAACAGCGTCCGGTCCTAACAAGCTCAATGTATTATAGTCACCATTACTACTGGGAAAAATGCCCAGGGATGGCTTCCTGGGTTTCTCCTGGAACTTGTTTGTGAATTTGGCCACACCAGCCTGGGCGATAAGGAACGAAATGGAATCAGAACATTTCATTTCTGCCTGTTTTTAGAGCTGGGGTCAAACTCCACCTTGGACCAGAGAACCCTGCAGGGCACACTGGCGTGAGCAGTTATCCCACCAAGGAAGGAAAGGGAAGACTGGGTTTTGGGAGCAAACATCAGTCCTGGGGTGACCTCTGACCTGAGACGGCCACAATGCTGCCTCGCCTGGCCCAGGCTGCTCCCTCTCCTGCAGCAACAACATCCAGGTCCCAGGAGCGCCGGGCACGTCTCAGATGAGGGACTGATCCTGGAGGCCTCCCGCTTCTGCTGAGCCTTTGGCTCAGGCTCAGGCCTGCTCGAAGGGGGCTCCTCACCCCCTCTCCCCAGAGCCTACTAGGCGGCCTCAGCCGGCGTGCCCCCTGAGTGGAGATGGGCAGAGAATGCACAAAAGCTGCCCACTCAGAGGAGACCCAAGTGGTTGTTTCCGTTTCATTTCACCAAATCACAATCAGGAGACAGCAGCATGCGGGACCTCTCCAGGGGCTTCCCTCACGGCCGCCCACCCAGGCAGCCCCCTCCCAAATGCCCCCGAGGTGAGTCTCTTCCCGGCTTGGGGCTCTGTGGAGGTCAGCAACGAAGCGGCGGTGGGGGAAGCAGACCATCGCCGCTGCCCACACGCTCTGCACTGGAGGGAGCGACGTGTGCACTGGGCCCGGTGGGAGGGACGGCCCGTGCGGCCAACTCCGCCTGCGGACCCGGGGGGCTGCAGCGACGGTGCATTTAGGCGCCCGTGGCAGCTTCCCAGGTGGGTGATGCTGCCCCAACCCTCACGCTACATCTTTTGAGTTTTACAGACCCAGCGAGCAGGCAGGGCCGTTTGGTTCTCTACAAATGTGCTGATTTCATTTTTGCTCGGCTCCCTGCCTCCTTGGCTTTCCAGAAAGACCCTTCACTGAGGGGGTGGTGGCACTCTACCCGAAAGGGACATAGCACAGCACTCTGCAAGTTCTCAGAGCTGTGCCCTAGAGAGCCAGAGGAAAGCAAAATCCAAACAGGAAGAGGGTCTGGCCTTGTAGCCTCTGTCCACGTGCACGGCCGGATAGAAACAGAAAGAATGACCCTCTTGCATGCCTGAGAAGCACTGGGATAAAGAGCAGCCCACAGATGAATGAGTGTACACTTCCTGCATGCTTTCTGACCAAAACAGCCACCCCCCACATCCTTGGGGCCTGGCCAGTGCCCTCCCCAAGGCAGCTGAAGCAGGAGAGGGGATGGGGCCCAGCCCTGGTTTCCTGTGCTCTTCTCTTACTAGTTTGAACTTGACCTTTTAAAAATCACGCACCCATTTGAAAAATCCGGTGTCAGCTGTGGACACGCACGCATGTGTGGTTCCCACTCTCTGCAGCGAACATGTGAGTCTCAGGCTAGGCGCACGCGGCCCATGGTGCTGTGGGTCCTTGAGGCAAGAGGTGATACTGACTGTAGGCACTTCCTTAGTGTTCTTTCCAGGATGGAATTTCTTCCCATCTGGCACACTTGGTTGTTTTTCTATGAACTCAGGGCGAGTCCCTGGCTGATGTGAGCCAGTCCTACAGCCCTGGTGAGCTGGGGCAAATCTTCCCCACCTCAGCCTCGTTAGCAGCCCACCCACCTCGGCAGGGCCAGGAGCCAGGGTTCAGAGCACCTAGCCATCTGAGACTCCCCTCAGCTCCTGCCCCCCGGGAGCTGAGAGGGCCCCTCCTGGGGCTCCCGGTCTGGGCCTCCCCAGGGCACATGCCCCGCCCTCTCCAGCAGACCTGGGCCCCAGGCCATTTTCCAGCCCATCCCTCTGATAATGAGTAAGCACTTCAGTCATCAACTTTTTGGCGCCCAGAGAAAGAGAAAAAACACTTCAGAGGTAGAGGGACAGATCCTGGGGAATCCTGGAAACGGAGGTATCCTTCCCTTGCCTGAGGCTGCGCTGCCTCAGGTTTGGCTTCTCTCACTCTGAGGAGAAGATTCTGGACAACTGCTTCCTGGGGAGGGAGATCTGAGGGCTGGCTCTGACCCACAGGATGCCTTCTCCTGGCTCTGCCCCTCCTGCAGTCACTTCTCCCTCACCCCCTCGCCGCTGCTCCTCCCCCCTCTCAGTGGGACCCCACCCCCACACCATGGCTCGGCGCCCACACTCAACCTCTGGCATTCTTGCCATCTGTCCCAGGGACTTTGGGTTGACCCCGAGCACTGACGTGGGACACAGGATGGAGAACGGACTCCCGGGCTGCGGGACAGAGGGTGGGGACCTCCCCGAGGGTCCCAGGGTCAGGATGTGGGAGCCTCCCAACCGTGGCCTCTGACTGCCTAGAGGAAACTGGGCTCCTGGGCAAGGAAGCCACTGTATCCTGGGGAAACAAGAGAAGGAAACTTGGCTGCTACCAGAGCCTCTTACTCTTTCCTTGCTTCAGGCAGAAACAGGTGGACACTTGGGACCAGCTGCAGGCAGAGCACGGGCAGCAGCAGTGGCCTGAAGCCTGGGTCCTATGTGACACCCCACTGCAGGAGCTGGGGGAGCCCCTGACTTCACATGTCACCAGGGAGACATCTTCAATGCACGGGCCTTCTGTGATTCGGCCTGGCAGCCCTGGGGCACAGCCAGGCCAGCAGGGCCCCCGGCGGCTCCACCCAGCAGGTGTTCTCAGGGCAGGGTACCAGAGCGCCTCCAGGGGCGCCGCCTGCTGGAGTGGCAGGAGGAAAGCTGCCGCTGCAAGGTCCTCCATCTTTTTGACATTTGCTTCTGCATCAAAGGAGGAGCCATCTAGGACCTTGTAACTGGATGTCAAGAACCACTCAGGAGACAAAGAGACACCCCAGGCAAATACCCAAGATTTGCTGGGGACTTTCCTATCAACTTGCATCCTTGGCATTTCCCAGGATCACGTCACTGGAGGGAACTGGCGTCTGCCTGGGAGGGAGGAGTTGGGAGTTGCACTGGTCCAGGGAGGAGAGCCACCTGCTGTTTGGAAGGACCCTGAGGGGCGAGCCCCAGGAACACCATGGCCACCTTCATGTCCAAGGACTGCCTGGAAACATCCTGTTTGAATTATCCCCTCTCTTGCCTGGGCTGCCTGCCATGTTGTTTGCTATTTTTAGCTCCCCGATGAGGAAGGAAATGGCTGCCTAGTCTTCCACCTGTGAGACCCAAGGCTCCAAAGCCCCCGATTCCTGACTGGGGAGACGCTGCCCCAGCAAAAGAGACAATCAGCTGACTCAGATGGTTTTATATTTGGCTGATGGCTCAAAAGTATGAACGGTGCAGGAAGATGAGGAAAAGGGATGTGAGGGCCTCTTATGGGGGTGGGGAGGCAGCAGGAGGGTGAGGTCTGCCTGCCTCTCAGAGAGCAGAGGAAACTTCTGACTGCTCACACCTTAGCAGAGCTCCGGGGCTCAAGAGCAGCAGCCCAAGGAGCGCCTGGTCTAGGACGAGACTGGGCACTAGCATTCCCAGGCCCCCTGAGGCTGTAACCAGAAGGGGATGACTTACCAGGAGTGTTCAGCAGGTTGGCTCTGCCAGGGGTGGGCACCTGAAGTTCTGAGTGGCTGACCCGGAGGTCAGGGCCATCAAGGGGGCCTGGGTCATCCGTCTGGCCTGCAGGGGAGGAAGCAATTTCTGCCAACACCTCCAGATCCTTCAGGATAACCTGGGGGAGAAAAGCAAAGGATGAAGGACAAGGGCCTCTGGAGAGCTGTGGTCAGAGACAGAGAGCTGCCTCCAGGGGGTGGGGAGGGGTCTGCAGAGGGTGACAGGCTGTGAGAGCCACCAAGACTATGGCTGTTAACAGTGCTCAGAAAGTTCTGCAGAAGATATGGATTGGGAAGAGAACACAGACAGGCGGAAGATGGGGGCAAGTGGAGGCAAGAAGCTGGAGTCCAAAGCATGGGAGTAAGCTTTCCCATGACAACTTCTCTCTAGTTCCCTAAGCAGGGACCTGACAGGTCCCCAGAAGACGTGGGACTCAGGCATCTGGGTTCAGTCTGTGTGGTGTGCATCCCAGGGCTCCTGGGCTGGCCATGCTCCAAGGTTAACCTGTGTGAGGGACCAACAGTGCCCACTAGGCCACACTGCTGGTGTGCTGGCCACAGCTCAGCCCACCACCAGGCCACAGAGCAGATCCTTCTCCAGAGGTGACTCCAGGCTACCCTCTACATTTGGAACAGGACTCTGGGCTCCAAGATGGGGGACTTCTTAACTTCTAGACGTGCTGTTCAATTCTCAGCTGCCTCCTTGATGGTCATTCCTAGGCCTGACCCCTGCCTGCTGAGTTCTTCCAGGGAAGACACACAGCTGAGCACGGAGAACAGCTAAGTGTGAGCTCCAATCAGCGCTGTATGTCACAAGGTTCCCCGGGGCTGCCTCACAACCCAGAGCCCCCGTACCCTTAGAAGCTAGCTGCCCCGCACACCACCCATCTCCTCTTGCTCTTCATCTGCCACCAACAGCCAGCAGGGCCCTGACCACACTGCAGGGAGGGCTGCCTGCCCCTTCCCACTCCCCACTCATCTCTGCTCTGAAGACGAACGTGCCTGTCCTAGCATAGGTGGGCCCCCAGGACTGTCCGCGGCACTCAGTGGATGCCTGCTGGGCATGGATGGCTGACTGGGGAACAGGTGAATTGCCATGGAAACCGTGGGATTTGGTCCTGGACCTACGGCAGTGACACAGAGCACCCGTGGCTGGGGCCATGGAGGGGGGATGGGCTGCGTGCACCAGGACAGACCAGCTGGCTGGAATATGGTGACAATGGTCAAGATGAGGCTACTGCAGGGCTCTCTGTGGGATGGTGAAAATGTTCCAGGGTGGGATAGTAGTGATGGTCACACGATCTTGTAAATATACTAAAAACCACTGAACCGTATATATATATATATTTTAAAGATTTTATTTATTTGAGAGAGAGTGAGAGAGAAAAATAGTGAGGGAGAGCAGGAGCGGGGGGCAGGCAGAGGGAGAAGCAGGCTCCCCGCTGAGCAGAGAGCCCGACATGGAACTCGATCCCAGTACCCTGGGATCGTGCCTTAGCTGAAGGCAGATGTTTAATAAACTGAGCCACCCAGGCGCCCTGAACTGATTAAAAGGGCAAATCTTATCTAAAACAACAACAACAACAAAAGACAAAGCTACTACCCTCTCCTCAAAGCTTCAGAGTGGTTCCTGTCTCAATGCAAGTGACACGCCCGTGCGTCCTCCCGCCCGGCCCCAGTCGTCACTTCCGGTATGCTCTCTGCCAGCCCTGGCCCCCGGGCCCTCTCCCAGCAGCACAGCATGCTCAGCACTCAAGTGTCCCACAAGCCAGTGGTTTTGCTCCCTATCCTGCCATGCTCCGGCCTCCTTCAGGCTGGATGCAGCGCGCGCGCGCGCACACACACACACACACACACACACACGTCACCTCCCACCTGTCTAACTGCCCTTTCCTTCGCTGCGCCCCGGCTCTCAGCACCGCCTGAGCCCCCACAGTGCCAACCCCTGGGCTGGGTGCTGGGGCTGCAGGTGAGTCCGACACGCCTCTGCCCACAGCCTGGCGCGGAGACCCACACTCGCCTGCCCTTCCAGGCACAGGTATGGGTATATCTGGAACATTCTGATTGCTGGGCCTGTAGGGGATGGATCCATGCTGGCTGAAGATCGTGGCTGCTAAGCAGCCTAGACAGATGGCAGGAACGAGTGCTGCCCCTGTGCCCAGGCCAAGAGCTGGGGGCCTGGCAGGTCCAGCCCAGAAGCAGAGAGGCCCAGGCCATCTGCTCCCCAGGAAGCTCTCTACTTCAGCGGTGGCAGAAGTGGACACAGAGGGAGGGGGCGGGATGGGGGAACAGAGAGCTAGGCGGGTGACAGCGCAGCGCTCCGCGCGCGAGAGTGGCCCGAGCACGGGCCACGCACTCAGGACGCTCAACTGTCCAAGCAAGTCACTGTCTAAAGGGCAGGGAGTGAAGGGAGACCTGGGAATCGGGTGGGGGAATGACTCACTCAAACAGTGAGGCAAGAAGCAAGCCGACTGTGCCTCAAAAAGTTAAACAAAGTCACCATAGCTACACTTCCACCCCTAGTGTTCACCCAAGAGGACCGAAAACGTGCGCACATAGGACTTAGAAATGTTCACAGCATCAGTGCCCATCACGCCTAGAAAAGGGAAACAACCTTCAGGTCCTGATGCCAATTCTGATGTGTTTTTTTCCTGATAGCAGCTGGGGTGTCCTACAATTCAACTCAATTCTGACCACCTACCTGGGGGTAGCGGCGGATCCCACAGGTTGAGGGCTCAGTCCTACAAGACTGCCCCCCCCCCCGCCGAACCCCCGGCTTCAGATGCCAATCACAAGTAAAGGCTGTCACCTGTGCTTCTGACGACCGGCTACAGAGCAGAGGTTCCCACGATCCCCTCCTTGGGTTTGATTCCTCTGCAAGAGCTGCTTATACTCAGAGAAACATTTTACTGACCAGGTCACCGGTTTATTATAAAAAGATGTAACTCAGGAACGGCCAGATAAAAGAGATGCGGAGGGCACAGAGCTTCTGTGCTCTCTGGGGCTCACTTTCCCCAAATCTCCATACGGTCACCAACCCGGAAGCTCTCCAAACCCCATCCTTTTGGATTTTTGTGGAGGCTTCATTATGTAGGTTTAGCTGATGAAATCACTGGCTTTTGTCCGTTGATTCAACCTCCAGCCCCTCTCTCCTCCTCGAAGGTTGGGTTGAAAGTTCAATGCTCTCATCACACGGTTGGTTCTCCTGGCAACCAGCCCCCCATCCTTCTGGGCATCCAAGTCACCTCAATAACCTAACAAAAGTCACCTTTATTAACACTCAGGAAATTCCAAGGGTTTTAGGAGCTCTGTGCCAGAACGAGGGATGAAGACCAAATACGTATTGTTTACTCTATATCACAGTATCACAAACCCAAATGTTTATCAACTGATAAATGGATAAACAGAATATGGCATATCCGTGCCAACGACTATTATTTGGCAATAAAAGGAATGAAGTTCTGATACATGCTATAAAACAGATGAACCTTGAAAACATTTGCTAAGTAAGAGGAGCCAGATGCAAAAGGCTGCATACTGTATAATTCCATTTATGTGAAATGTTCAGACCAGGCAAATCTACAGATACAGAGCAGAGCCTGTGGCTGCCAGGGGCTGCGGGAGGGAGACATGGGGAGTGACTGCTAATTGGTACAGGGTTTCTCTTTGGGGTGGTAAAAATGTTCCGGGATTAGATAGTGATGTTTGCACAACCTTGTCAAAATACTAAAACCCACTAAGTGGTATACTTTACTTTTTTTAAAGGTTTTATTTTTTTAAGTAATCTCTAGACCCAACATGGGGCTCAAATTCATGACCCCAAGATCAAGAGTTGTATGTTCACCAACTGAGCCAGCCAGGCGCCCCTAAATTGTATATTTAAAAGGGTGAATTTTATGGTTGGTGAATTGTATCTAAAAAGAGAAGTCAAAACCCCAAGTCGGCGCCCTAAATCCCAGGCCAGTGGTACGTGTAGAGCAGTTGGCTCTTGCTGTGCCCATGGCCCAAGGTGGCAGGGCCTCGCTGACCCCCCACGACCTCACGCCTGCTTCTGATTCCCCGGAGGGCCGCGAGCACTCAGGGAGGCTACCTGTGTCCCTACATCTCCGGCATGTGCCAGCCCTGCTGCAGCGCTGAGCCGCACGCTACTCCTCTCAGGGCTGGCTGTGCAGGTGGGCCGAGGCCCACGTCCTCTTGTCCTCTCCGCAGCAAATCCTGGTGGTCAAATGTGGCAGGTGAGGAAAGTGCAGGACAGCTGGGGCCAGGCTAGCACTCAGCTACTTCCCCCCCTGCCCGCCCACGAGGGCCACACTGGCCCACACCAGGCTTCTGGTGGGTACTTATTCCCCTAATAGAAAAGATGCTCGCGAAGAACCACCAGCACCTGAGAGGCCGGACCCGTGAGATGCCCCCACCCTCGGAGTGGCCCCCGGGGCCAGGCTGCAGGGGACCGGGAGACCGGAGGAGGAAGCCCTCCTCACTTCCAGCTAGAATTAATGCCCTCATTTGCTGTCAGTCTCCCGTTGCAGCAAGTGACCTGCTCAAGAGACCAGGGAGTCCACTTCAGACACAGCTCTGGCCCCCAAACCAGAGCCTGATAAGCTACACTGGGCTTAGTGGTCAGACAACCCTGACTTGCAGTCAGTTAGCTGCACCCCTCTAACCTCTCCCCCAGCAGCCACTGAGCACCCACTGTGGGCCAGGGCCTGTGTTGACTGGAGATGTGAAGCTAACCGGGATGGCCCTGCCCCTCCTGACAGTGACCTTGGGGAGGGAGACAGGCGGTCAACAAACACTTACAATGCAGTGTATGTGCAACTTGGCCTGTGGGGAGCAAGAGGCTTCAGAAGTACCTGAGCAGCAGTCTGCCCGGGAATCAGGGCTAGAGGAAGGCACGCGAAGCATTCTCTTAACTAGCATAAGCCTTTCATGGGCACAGAACCAGAGTCACGGGCACATTCCAGGAACGGAAGCTTTGATCTAGCTCTGGAGTGGGGCATGGGATGGGGATGGGTGTTACATAGGAGACAGCAGGCCCAAAATGGAGTCACTTGGGCTAACTCCCACGACAACAAACCAAGACTTAATACCTAACCTAACTGCAGTTTCAACCTGTAGCCAGTCAACATGGGATTACCTGGTCAGCACTAGTGAGATAATCCTCCTGGAAGACCCCTTCCGGTCCTCTTAGAAAGGCGACCTTGCCTGAAACAATGCATTCTTTGCAAATAATTTTCTTTCTCCGCCCCCGTTCTGCCTTTAAAAACCTTTCCTTTCCTACAGCTTCTTTCTACTGCTGGATGGGGATGCTGCTGCCTGTTTCCTGAATTGTCGAATAAAGCCACTGTGATCTTTAAAATTTACTCCACTGAAGTTTTGTTATCTAACAGGGGGGCAGGGCCAGAAATCAAGCAGAAGTCAGAAGGAGGGGCCAGGTCACCAAGATCTATGAGGTTTGAACTTGGTTTTGCAGGTGACGGGGAGTCTGTTTCCTCCTATGTGCCAACAGAGCTTCACCCTGGCGAGGCTGGCATCATTATAGGAGACATTTCTGTTAGGAGATTTTTGGTACCACAGCTGAGCTTGACCAGTGGTCCTGGCTCAGGGACTGGGCAGGAACAACAACGCATACGTGCAGGGCTCCAGATTTCACTTCTCTACCACAGAGAATCTGCGTGGACATCTTCGTACCACCTCCTCCTCCCGCACCGGAGAGCAGTAGCCAGCAAAACTGCGTATTTCACATTTTGAATTCTCTTGTTTTGGAAAGTTTAACACCAAATGGTAAATGAATGCAAATTATACTTCAATTGTACAATTAAAGCCGGAAATGTTGTCTACAGGTTCCTTCAATGATCCCAGCCACTCCTCTAGTGCTCATATATCAAAAGATTTGTCTCTGGTCCCCGGGGACTGGCAAAAATCTGACAGCCCTCCCTGGGGAACACCACGTGTACTTGTAGGCCTTCTCGCGTGTGCGCGCGAGTGCGCGCACGCGCGCGCACACGCACACACACACACACACACACACACACACACACACAGCACCCTCCTGCTTCTTTCAAATGGGAGTCTGAGAATAGCAGAGATGCAGGGAGATGAAGGGGCTGCCAAAATGGAGGGCAAGGAATGGCTTGAAAAGAGCGTGGGGGATTTGTGGGGAGCCACTCCAGGGCTCCTGTGCCCGTCCAGTCCAGATGCTGGCTCTCTCCTAGCTGACAGCAAATCCCAGATGCCACGGAGCAACAATCCTGACAAAGGCCTGGGCCAGGACTCTGCCTCAGCCCAGGGAGTGAGGAGTGGTCCAGGGAGGCGATGTTAAGGTGGGAGTGGGTGCTGGGACAAAGCAACACGGACCAAGGGGGAGCCGTGCTCTGCCCTCCGGCTGAAGCTGGCTTTGAATCTCTGTGCCAGGCCAGGGTTTGGGTGGTCCACCTCTCCTGGAGACCCCTTGGTCTGTGGATAAGAAGGTCTGGGACAAGGACACAGCGACCTCAGCAGCCTTGCTTGTGGGGCACTGGCTCAAGGCCTGGATGAAAGGCCTGCTGCTTGGCCCCTGGAAACCAGAGTTAGACCCCTTCCCAGGAGCAGGCTGGCGGGGCCCAAGCCTACACTGGCCTGTAGTCCTGGCTCGGAGAACGAGGCAAGGCTCAAAGAAAGCAGGAGGAAGCCATGCCAATTAGTATGCGCTACACAGCTTTTTGCAAAATGAATATAAAACACTTGTGCTTTCTTTTTGTGTGAGAGAAAGACGGTGGGGGGAGAGGGAGGAGGAAGAAGGTTACAAGAAAGCAATATTCTGCAGGGGCAGGAGTGCCTGCAGTTGCCATGGCAACAGGCTAGGGATGGAGGAGAGTGGTGGTGGGGAAGGCACATCAGCTGGTCCCCGGTCCTGGAGTGGGGTGAGCTCTGAGCTGGCCATCAGTGGAGTGAAAGGGTCGGTGACAACTGGGAGCGGGAAACATCTGACAAAGCAACTCTGAGAGAAAGGCCGGGGGGGGGGGGCAGGGGGAGGGGCCGGCCTACCCTCTGTGGCTCGGGGAGCAAGGTCAAGGAGGCCAAAGGGTTCCTGAGCAAGCCCTTGCTTCTAGGTGACTTGACACCGGCAAAGGCCATATTTCAGCATGGGAGGGAAGTCGCCATCTGGACAGGGCACCTGCAGGCTGTCACCCCACTGTACTCCAGCAGGCCGAGGACCGGGTCTCTAGGATGGCGCTGGTGTCCTTTTTTTTTTTGAGTCGGCCAGGCCCTCCCTGTCCCAACACCTTGTCCACAGAGCAGCCTTGGAAAACCCCTTGTTGTGGAAGGCCCCATTCTTTCACTCTCCCTGGCTGTGCCCCCTTGACCCCCGGGAATGGCTGGAGACCCAGGGCTGAACGAGGCCAACTCCCTAGGCTGGGGGCCCGTCCTGGCCTCCTACTGAGGCTCCTGACTCTGAAGCCCCAGGGCAAAGCACTGAGCAGATGTTGAATGAATACTTGCTGACCGGCAGCGCCAGGCAGGAAATGGAAGATGTGGATGGATCTGAATAGCTCCTGCCAAGGGGATGGATGGAGAGGCCTCCCACTTCACCCTACCCACTTATCTCTGA